AAAAAAATCGAAAAAATATTAAAATTGAGTTATTGTTACCAAAAAATAGCTGAACTTTCTGGCTACACTCTGGTATAATTATTATCCTTGTACGATGTTTCTAAAAGGAATTACAGCCATTTATAACAGGCATGGTGACAGCGCCTTGCCTCACATTGCGTAACAAGCGCTGACGCAGCATTGTTTATGTTTTTCCCCGTGTTATTTTTATCGTTTTCTTATATCTTTATGTCTAATGTAATACAAATTCACCATCTGAGATCATGGCAGAGTGGGCGGAGCTAATATGGTCAAGGAACCAATTGGGAACCCCTGGGAATAGTGCACAAAATGGCCGACACCTCCAGCCAACAAAATATTCCATACCCACGCTAATATCAATTATAAGGCTTATTTATCTATCACAATTGATCTATTATGACATTAATGCAATATATAATAGCATATAAACATAAAAAGCACACCTTAAAAAATAATATATAACATAACTCAAGAAATCGTAATGTTGACGGCAGTGAAGGGACTTGAGCTCGAGTTCGTCACGGCCACGCTAGCTGGAGATTCGTCTGTAAAAACTTGCATTTGTGGTCACAGTGGTGCCTGTGCTAACCTTCCTATGGTGTAGAAAAAATACCTAGTTGGATGAATCTTATTGTGGCTAGCTGGTCTAGTGGCTAACGCGACGGGCTGGAGTTTTGAGACTCTATGACCGCAGGTTCAATCCCGGCCGGGGGTATGGTTAATATATAGCATAATGTGATGCCCGAGAGGAAAAAAATCTATCGACATATTCCCTGAAGGTGAAGAAAGGGTCCGTTCTCTCATATGTAATGAGAGAAAACGGATTTACAATGGTTAACTGTAATAAACGCTCGTAGGTCACGGAAAAAGTGTAAAATAAAGCGAATTTTTCGGGGAAAAAAAAATATATCCCGGGCACTGGGGTGCTGCGCGCTTCGGCCTATATCTCGAAAGTAAGTTATTTTCCTATTTAGGGCCAATCCATCTTTATTTATGATTGAATTGACTTGATTTTCACAACAAACATAGAAGAATGATTGCTTTACAAGATGAAGTGTTCCTTTCTGAACTATCCCAAATATTTTTAGATTTATGTGGGCAACAAGACCGACATCTTCCAATATGTCAAAATAGTTATGAAACTTTATTTTTTTTTAGCATGAAGATAAGGTTTATTTTAGAATTGGTACACGTACATTGATGGAATTAGAGGTGTTCTATCAGCAGCAAGTGTCAAAACCACTTTTCCAAGTACCACTGAGTACAGCTCCGCTGCCAAATGCAATTTCTCGTAAATTTTGCATATTTCATTTCCTTTTTGGCCGATATGCTTGAAACTTCAGCACAGGATACTCGATATAAGCTTCTAATAGTACACCAAAAATGAACGTAATCGGTTGAAAAATAAAGAAGTCCATATGTCACAATCAGATCCTTAACATTCATAAACTATAAATGAGTCATGTTATTATTGCTGTTATTAGAAGAAAGTTATTTTTCTTGCTTTTTCTCTGTGCAAAATCGTATAGAATTTTGTCGAAGTTTAAACTCCTGCTAATTTCAGATTCAGTAGACATAATCACCAAACTGTTCAAACTTTCTTGTTAAACTGATGATCTCAAGTAAGTTTTCATCAGTTTCAGCTTGGAAAAACTCCTTTCTCCACATACCAAACTCACTGGGAAATTCGCCAAAGCCTTTTTTTTTTTTTTTCGTCACGGGGCCTAATTGGAAGCAATCAGTCCAATCGGCTTAAGGCGGGCTCTGCTACCAGGAGTAGAAACAAAAAAAAAACTCAGACCCCAATGGAATTAAATTTAGCCGCGGTTCCCTAGATGGCAGAGCGGCCGATAACACGGTAATGGTTCCTGGGTGTCTGAACAACCATAACCTTCCCTTTTAAGGGCTTTTCCCTCACAATACCTTTTTTCCTAAACTTATGGTTGGAGGCTGAGCCTACACCCTAGGCTCAGCAAATGTGAGAAGTGGTTTTCTGAGCCAGATATATTATTTTTTTTTTATTAACATATCGGCCGATTCCCACCAAGGCAGGGTGGCACGAGAACGAAAAACTTTCACCATCATTCACTCCATCACTGTCTTGCCAGAAGGGTGCTTTACACTACCAAATTCATCCACCAATCTCTGCAACTTCTCTTCAGAATCTCCCAAGAGCACAGTGTCATCAGCAAAGAGCAACTGTGACAACTCCCACTTTATGTGTGATTCTTTATCTTTTAACTCCACTCCTCTTACCAAGACCCTCGCATTTACTTCTCTTACAACCCCATCTATAAATATATTAAACAACCACGGTGACATCACACATCCTTGTCTAAGGCCTACTTTTACTGGGAAATAATTTCCCTTTTTCCTACATACTCTAACTTGACCCTCACTATCCTCGTAAAAATCTTCACTGCTTTCAGTAACCTACCTCCTACACCATACACCCTTCAACATCTGCCACATTGCTTCCTATCCCCTGTCATACGCCTTTTCCAAATCCATAAATGCCACAAAGACCTCTTTAGCCTTATCTAAATACTGTTCACTTATATGTTTCACTGTAAACACCTGGTCAACACACCCCCTACCTTTCCTAAAGCCTCCTTGTTCATCTGCTATCCTATTCTCTGTCTTACTCTTAATTCTTTCAATAATAACTCTACCATACACTTTACCAGGTATACTCAACAGACTTATCCCCTATAATTTTTGCACTCTCTTTTCTCCCTTTGCCTTTATACAAAGGAACTATGCATGCTCTCTGCCAATCCCTAGGTACCTTACCCTCTTCCATACATTTATTAAATAATTGCACCAACCACTCCAAAACTATATCCCCACCTGCTTTTAACTTTTCTATCTTTATCCCATCAATCCCGGCTGCCTTACCCCCTTTCATTTTACCTACTGCCCACGAACTTCCCCCACACTCACCAACTGGCTCTTCCTCACTCCTACAAGATGTTATTCCTCCTTGCCTTATACACGAAATCACAGCTTCCCTATCTTCATCAATATTTAACAATTCCTCAAAATATTCCCTCCACCTTCCCAATACCTCTAACTCTCCATTTAATAACTCTCCTCTCCTATTTTTAACTGACAAATCCATTTGTTCTCTAGGCTTCCTTAACTTGTTTAATCTCACTCCAAAACTTTTTCTTATTTTCAACAAAATTTGTTGATAACATCTCACCCACTCTCTCATTTGCTCTCTTTTACATTGCTTCACCACTCTCTTAACCTCTCTCTTTTTCTCCATATACTCTTCCCTTCTTGTATCACTTCTACTTTGTAAAAACTTCTCATATGCTAACTTTTTCTCCCTTACTACTCTCTTTACATCATCATTCCACCAATCGCTCCTCTTCCCTCACGCACCCACTTTCCTGTAACCACAAACTTCTGCTGAACACTCTAACACTACATTTTTAAACCTACCCCATACCTCTTCGACCCCATTTCCTATGCTCTCATTAGCCCATCTATCCTCCAATAGCTGTTTATATCTTGCCCTAACTGCCTCGTCTTTTAGTTTATAAACCTTCACCTCTCTCTTCCCTGATGCTTCTATTCTCCTTGTATCCCATCTACCTTTTACTCTCACTGTAGCTACAACTAGAAAGTGATCTGATATATTCGTGGCCCCTCTATAAACATGTACATCCTGAAGTCTACTCAACAGTCTTTTATCTACCAATACATAATCCAACAAACTACTATCATTTCGGCCTACATCATATCTTGTATACTTATTTATCCTCTTTTTCTTAAAATATGTATTACCTATAACTAAACCCCTTTCTATACAAAGTTCAATCAAAGGGCTCCCATTATCATTTACACCTGGCACCCCAAACTTACCTACCACACCCTCTCTAAAAGTTTCTCCTACTTTAGCATTCAGGTCCCCTACCACAATTACTCTCTCCCTTGGTTCAAAGGCTCCTATACATTCACTTAACATTTCCCAAAATCTCTCTCTCTCCTCTACATTCCTCTCTTCTCCAGGTGCATACACGCTTATTATGACCCATTTTTCGCATCCAACCTTTACTTTAATCCACAGCTTTAAACTTATATGACTGGATAGCCAAAGCCCATCTTAAGAGTCGGCTATTTGAGCCTTTGAAGTTTTCCAGGTACATCAGTGGCTTGTGATGTGTTTCAAGCACAAAGAATTTTCCGTATAAGCAGCATTTAAACTAACTTATGCCCCATACCAATGTATAACATTCCACCTCCTCAGTAGAGTATCTTTCTTCCCTCGGCAGAAGCTTCTTACTGGTGAAAGATATAGGGAGAGAGTCTCATCATAATACTGCAGTAGAACAGCACCGGGAGGGATGGATTGAATCTTAATACTTCTCTTATCCTCTCTTCCTGGACTGAATCTTAAACTTCTATCCTCTCCTTCCTGAGATTGAATCTTAATACTTCTCCTATCCTCTCCTTCCTGAGATTGAAAATTTATACTTCTTCTATCCTCTCCTTCTTGGGATTGAATCCTCTTCAGCTTGGCTTTAAACCTTATGATTGTTATTGGAAGGTGTGATTCAGATTTGAACTATGTTTGTCCAGGTTTATTGAAGAAATGTGGATATTAGCGTCCATATTACATCTACTACATACATCTTTTGATTAGTTTCGAATATTGAACACTAATGTTTGAATCCATTAGAAACTGATGCTTCATGGGCTGGGACTAGGCAATATGGGGGTAACTCTCACAGAACCTACAGTTATGTGATGAGCCTCAGAGGGAACTCTTGTCGACAATCACAGGCGCAAAAAGTCTGTAAAGTCATCATGGTAAGAAAACTAAGTTAAATGCTTTTTTCATGTGAGTTGATTTGAGGATGTTACATTGTTCACAGCTGATTTATTGCATTCAAGGCAATTTTGATTGTTTTTTATTAAAAAAAATCTAGCATTACAAAGCTCATTTGAAGACTCTTCATTTTTTGCAGACTTTGCAGTTTATTTACAATGGGATTGTTTCTACTGTGGGGGATCTTCTACTTCTCTGGCCTCGTCGCCTATGCTGTCTACAACAACTGTGATCCTTTCACCTCGGGAAGAATAACAAAACCTGACCAGATAATGCCTTATCTGGTGTCAGATAAGTTGAATCATCTACCAGGCATGTCAGGGCTCTTCGTAACAGCGGTATACAGCGGTGTTCTCAGGTTAGACTCGACACCAATATACAGTAGAAATAATGAAGCAATGTTCCTCATCTTAGTTAAAGTATTAAGAGTCCCAGTTTCCTGACCAAATTTGTTTTTCTTTATATGTGGCCTACCACCTACACGATGGTCATAGGATACATAGAAAGCTGCCAAACTAATCAGTTCAATCCAGCAGTTGAGTCGAGTTTCTTGACTTATCTGCACTTCTAGGCTAAGCTCCAGCACAAGTAAAATTTATTATTTTATTATCACACAGGCCGATTCCCACCAAGGCAGGGTGGCCCGAAAAAGAAAAACTTTCACCATCATTGACTCCAACACTGTCTTGCCAGAAGAGTGTTTTACACTACAGTTTTTAAAACTGCAACATTAACACCACTCCTCCAGAGTGCAGGCACTGTACTTAACATCTCCAGGACTCAAGTCCGGCCTGCCGGTTTCCCTGAACCCCTTCATAAATGTTACTTTGCTCACACTCCAACAGCACGTCACGTATTAAAAATAATTTGTCTCCATTCACTCCTATCAAACACGCTCACGCACGCCTGTTGGAAGTCCAAGCCCCTCGCACAAAAAAAACACCTTTGCCCCCTCCCTCCAACCTTTCCTAGGCCGACCTCTACCCCGCCTTCCTTCATACAGACTGATACACTCTTGAAGTCACTCTGTTTCGCTCCGTTTTCTCTACATGTGAAAACCACCTCAACAACCCTTCCTCAGCCCTCTGGACAACAGTTTTGGTAATCCCGCACCTCCTCCTAACTTCCAAACTACGAATTCTCTGCATTATATTCACATCACACATTGTCCTCAGACATGACATCTCCACTGCCTCCTGCCTTCTCCTCGCTGCAACATTCATCACCCATGCTTCACACCCATATAAGAGCGTTGGTAAAACTATACTCTCATACATTCCCCTCTTTGCCTCCAAGGACAAAGTTCTTTGTCTCCACAGACTCCTAAGTGCACCACTCACCCTTTTCCGCTCATCAATTCTATGATTCACCTCATCTTTCATAGGCCCATCCGCTGACACGTCCACTCCCAAATATCTGATTACATTCACCTCCTCCATACTCTCTCCCTCCAATCTGATATCCAATCTTTCATCACCTAATCTTTTTGTTATCCTCATAACCTTACTCTTTCCTGTATTCACTTTTAATTTTCTTCTTTTGCACACCCTACCAAATTCATCCACCAATCTCTGCAACTTCTCTTCAGAATCTCCCAAGAGCACAGTGTCATCAGCAAAGAGCAACTGTGACAACTCCCACTTTATGTGTGATTCTTTATCTTTTAACTCCACGCCTCTTACCAAGCCCCTCGCATTTACTTCTCTTACAACCCCATCTATAAATATATTAAACAACCACGGTGACATCACACATCCTTGTCTAAGGCCTACTTTTACTCTTTCCTACTTTCCTACATACTCTAACTTGAGCCTCACTATCCTCGTAAAAACTCTTCACTGCTTTCAGTAACCTACCTCCTACACCATACACCTGCAACATATGCCACATTGCCCCCCTATCCACCCTGTCATACTCCTTTTCCAAATCCATAAATGCCACAAAGACCTCTTTAGTCTTATCTAAATACTGTTCACTTATATGTTTCACTGTAAACACCTGGTCCACACACCCCTTACCTTTCCTAAAGCCTCCTTGTTCATCTGCTATCCTATTCTCCGTCTTACTCTTAATTCTTTCAATAATAACTCTACCATACACTTTACCAGGTATACTCAACAGACTTATCCCCGTATAATTTTTGCCCTCTCTTTTGTCCCCTTTGCCTTTATACAAAGGAACTATGCATGCTCTCTGCCAATCCCTAGGTACCTTACCCTCTTCCATACATTTATTAAATAATTGCACCAACCACTCCAAAACTATATCCCCACCTGCTTTTAACATTTCTATCTTTATCCCATCAATACCGGCTGCCTTACCCCCTTTCATTTTACCTACTGCCTCACGAACTTCCCCCACACTCACAACTGGCTCTTCCTCACTCCTACAAGATGTTACTCCTCCTTGCCCTATACACATCTGCTGGGTTAAACCCTATCAAAGCGCTACACAGATGTACGTACACATCTCCTGGGATGTAGCCTTGTAATATTATTCTTTATATATTTTCACTTATGCTTGGATATGTCCCAGTAAAACTACCCTAACATTTTTTTTAAATTTCTGCTCAGTAAGTCCAAACAAAACTACCCTTACATTCATACACTTCTGAATTAAGCCCTTGCAAAGTTACCCTGACATACATACTCTTCTTATGAATTATTCTGCAGATGTAGAATTCACAAGCCTGGTTGATCAGGCTCTGATTCACCACAATGCCTGGTCACAGACCGGGCCGGGAGGCGTTGATCCCCGAAACCCTCTGCAGGTATACTTCAGGTAAGGTGCTCTACTCCCATCCTCTTCCTCATCCTCATAGTTGACATAGTCAGGGATGTAAACTATAGCACCCATGGGTTTCCCATGTGGAAACTGCAAATTTCCAAGAGGATATAAACCAAGTATTTAAATTGGCAAAAGAAAATATGAAGAGCGATTAGTCCAAAATCAAGCAAAAGATTTGGTAAGCGGTGCAACACCCCTCCAGTGATAAGTATGGATACAGTGACAATAAGTGTCAGGACCCGAAGTCCCAGTTGTCCATTTGCCTCCCGCCATACATAAGGTGAATTAAGAAGGAGATGGACAGACACCTAGAGTCAGTACCCGACCAGCAGGGCTGTGGTTCGTATGTTGAATTATGTGCGGCCAGCAGGAACAGCCTGGGTGATCAGGCATTGATCCACCACAAGGAGGCGTCGACCCCCAGATCACCCTCCAGGTAGACTCCAGGTAGACAGACCTAGAACCATGATCTAGCTACAATAATTCTAAATTTGTTACTTGTATATTGTTGTCATTTTTTATACTTGCTTTGATTAATATGTAAATAAAATATGTGTTGTGTTCTCCGTACAGTTCACTGTCATCACACGGGAACGCCATAGCTGGTGTCATCTGGGTGGACTTCCTCAAGGACCGGCCGTACTTTAGTAACGTCACTGAACGTCGTTCCACCAACGTTGTTAAGTTTTTATGTAATACATATGTTAAAGTTATAACCTGCAAATAATGATATAAATCAATATTTATTCACTCACAGAGAAAAACCAAAAAAATAATCTTCCATAGTTACGTTACTTGTTTCACCCAGTCAAACCCCATCACTTCATTAGACAGTAATTGATTGTGTAAATAAATATAAAAAATATCCACACCAATGGAAAAATACTTACACAGTATAATGAGATATTTCACTGACTACGTTTCGCCCACTTTATTATGTCACAAGAAGATCTGCCTGAACAGAGAGTACTTAACTATTATATATATATATATATTATATATATATAATAGATATAATATATATATATTATATAATATATATATATATATATATATTATATATATATTTATTTATATATATATATATTTATATTATATAATATGTATATTTTTTTATATATAGATAACATATATATATATATATATTCTTTTTTTCTTCAATGCACCAGCCATATCCCTTAGGTGAGGCGGGCCCAAAAACAAAAAAAAAAAAAAAAAAAAGAAAAAACGAAAGTTTGCTTTTAAATTTGTATCATTATATATACAAAGGTGAGAAAGAAGGGGTTACTAGCCACCTTGCTCCCGGGTATTTTAGTCGCCTTTTTCGACACGCATGCTACGGAGGAAGAATTCTGTTCCCTTGCCCTATGGTTGTATATATATATATATATAAATATATATTATATAAATATATATATTTATATACACGTTGCCGGCGAGGAGGGAGGGATCAGTGTGTGGGCTCATCATTGTGTGTATACCAGGGAACCAACATCGTTTACGTGGGCCTGTTTCGCCAGGACATTCATCGTGAGTATCCACGGAGATCACAGAGTTGTGGACATACCTCTGCATCGGACATTGCCTTATGTATCAGTGAAAGTGCAGTGAGCATGTTGGTATTTGGGAAGTAGCGGTGGTGTGGGGTTCTGGCGTGGGGTGTGGTGGAGGTTTTGTTTAAAATTCGGTGATCGGTGGGGTCGCGGGTTTTGGGAGGGAAGTGCGGAGCCCACGACACAGTCATTGGATTGATGATAAACTAGAACACATCTGTTAATGGTGTGGCTTGGTGCTTAGTGTGCCAAAGGGCGAGGGTTTTTTCTAATGGGAACAATAAGTGTATAACAATTTAGCAAAAGGTAGTCAGTGATGTGCGTCAGAGCGAACTACAGAGCCACTCCCTCCCCTCCCCCATCCCTGTTCCCCTCTCCCTCATCCCAGCCTAGGCCAACTGACTTCCTGACAAAGGGTGTTGGCGTTAGTGCCCTCCAATTACAAGTCCGCGCTCGCTGCTCCCCCACCCTCCATCCCCCATGCATCTGCTGCCCCTTCACCCATCACCCCCACAGCGGGGGGTTGGCGCCCTCCACCCTCAGATATCAGCAATGTCACATGTAGTCGCGGGTTCCCAGGGAATCTTCACGACAGAGCCAAAGCTGTCGTTCACGAGGGAAATCTGCCGGGTGTAGCCACAGGGAACGTGCACTCATTCCCACATCTGGCAAACATCCGTGCACACAATGGGATGTCTAGGATCAGGAGAGTCCAAATGAGAACAACCAACTGTCCCCAGCAGACAGGGCTGACTAGATACGTGACGTCACCTCTACGAGGACCTCAAATCTGCTATCAATTACCATCCACCAGACTTGACACACATCCCCAAAGCCAGCTCGCCCTCATGTGCTAGCAAATTCAATGACTTCTGAGAAAGTCAACGATGCTCATTCAAAACAAATGATCTGGCAAACATGCTGCTTTTTGGCAATGCCTGTTTGGCTGTCCCCACCAAGAGGGACAAGTCACTAGCAAAAACATGTTATTAGAGCAATAAATGCTTTCCCAAGGATGAAAATCCTCGTCGTCCTCCCACTAGGGCGACAAACACCACGCCGGGCAAATGCCAAATCAGGACACCGACACCTCAATATCAGGCCAACTTAGCAAAAAAATAGAAGTGGGTAATACTCATTGGAGCTCTGAGCTTATAACGTGAGGTCCATCGCTCGCAAAAGGACGTCAGCAACGGTGCAAGATCTGAAGGACAATCATTCCACCCAGGGCTAACAGTACCAACATTGAACTCCATGACATTGCAGCAGGTTGTAGAAAATCTAACCCTTTACAGGATGCTGATGTGTATAAAGAGCTATGTATTTCACAGGGTTCAGCAGGAGGTGTTCAACGGTTTAAGGCCTCTAAAATTAAAAACAATTATCGATCCAGCACTGGAGAGTTTCAGTGAGGCTGCTGTTGAACTCACCAAATTTTCCATACCTGTGCTGGATGGCGGTGTCCCAGAGGCATCAGAACCCTTTTTCTTTGGTGCTTTATGTGTGCCTTCCGGGAAAAAGGATGCGAATTCAGGCCCTTTGCAGTGGGTAACACCCTTCGGGCGCCTAGTCGCCATGGCTGACCAGTAAGAAGGGTGAGTCTAGAGGCTGCTGCAATGCTGAACCAATCAGCTGGTTGCGGAGTACAAACAGGGCTGTGAAAGCAGCTGCCCATGCAGCACGAGTCAATTTCATGTCCCCAATCATTTGTTGGAAAGTCAACTGTACACGTTGTATGAAGGGATATAAGGGAAGGGAGTTTCTATAAAACTGCTTGGAGTGCAGCTACCTTCTGAATGAGTTGATAAGCATTGGAAAAGTCCAATTTGTTCAGGCTTTTTCATAGGACAGGTATTTTGATATATACTGTGCTGCATGGGCAGCTGGGCCCTTTTTTTTTTTCACAGCCTGTTGAACGCCGAATCGAGCCTGTGTTGGTTTCTGCATTGCTGCAGACTTTGACTACCCTCTTACTGAGCCGTGGCGGTCTAGGCGCCCCACGAAGGGTGTTACCCACTGCAATGGGCTGATTCCGCCCATCCTTTTTCGGAGGGCACACAATGAGGCACACAAGAACAAGGGTCTGTTGGCCTCTGGGACACCGCAGCCCAGGCACAGGTGGAAAATTTGGTGAGTTCAGACTGCAGCCGCTTGAAAACCTCACCATGTGGTGGATTGAGTAATTGTTTTAAGTGTTGAGGCCTTAAAACGGTGAAACTCCAGCTGGAACCCTGTGGAATGACATAGCAGCTTTATACACATCAGCATCCAGTAAGGTTAGTGTTATACACCTGCTGCATGTCTGGAGTGTCAATGTTGTACTGGGAGCCAGGGTGGATGTTTGTCCTCAGAGTTGCACTGTTGCTGGACGTCCTTTGTGAGCGATGGTTTATTCACTGGTTAGATGTATCAGAGCTCCATTAGTATTCCTCTTCTATTTTTTGCTAATTTTGGGCTTTGATTTTGAGGTGTCGGTGTCCTGTGTTTGGCTTGCCCGGCGGGTGGTTGTGCCCTTAGGGGGAGACGGACCGTGGTTGTCTTCCCTTTGGAATTGCAGTTATTGCTCTAATAACATGTGTTGCTAGTGACTTGTCCCTCCTTGGTGGGACAGGCCAAAACAGGCATTGCTAAAAGCTAGTCAAGTTGTGCCAGGATCGGTTGTTTGATATGGCACGTTGACTTCTTTTCAGAAGGTCAGTGATTTGCTAGCAGCTGGTGGGCGAGCTGCTTTGGGGGATGTGTTCAGAGCCTGAGTGGATGTTATTTGATTGCGTGATTTGAGGACTCTGTAGAGGTATGAAGTCAAGGTAGCTGTCAGCCCTGTCTGTGGGGAGGTGGTTGGGTTGTTTCTTCATTTTGGAGCTTTCCTGGTTGCATAGGTCATCCATTGTGTGCACGGATGTTGCCAGATGTGGGTTTGAGTGCCCGTTCCTGTGGCACACGCAGATGCCTCGTGAACGGACAGTTGGGCTCTGTCGTGAAGTTCCTGGGAACCCGCGATACTTGTATAATATATATTTTATCACCTTTTTCCCCCCCCACCCCCCCCCACCCACCATTTGTCATTGTGATATGGGGGGGCGGAGGGAGCCAGCTGGGGGGTGATGGGTGAAGGGGCAGCTGGTATGCATGGGGGATGAGGGGGGGGGAGCTGCGAGCGGCGGAACTTGTAATTGGTGGGGCACTAAACGGCAACACCCTTGGTCAGGAAGTCTGTTGGCTATGTGGGATGAGGGGGGGGATCTGGGGATGGGGAGGGGGGGGCAGGCAGGGGCCCTGTGTGTTCGCTTCAAGACGCACATCACTGACTAACTTTTGCTAATTGTTATTACACTTTTGGGTCCATTTAAGAAATAAACCTCATTTGGCACAATCTTCCACATTGCTCATCTATTAAACAGAGGTGTTCTGTTCATCATCCATTGACTGTGTCGTGGGCGGCCACTTCCCTCCCAACCCGCGACCCGACCGATCACAGATGTAAACAAACTCCTCACACCGACTGCCAGGATTCCCGCACCACGCTACTTCCCAAATCCCAACATGACACTGCACTTTCTCTGATCAGAAAGCATTGGTTCCAGTTGCAGAGGTTGTCACTAACTCTGTGATCTCGGTGGATTATCACGATGTTGTCTGACGAAACTGGCCCACGTAAACCGATGTTGGTTCCTGGTTTACACACAATTGTATGGAGCACCAGCCACACTGGATCTCCCTCCACGCCGGAAAGGCGTGTATTAATTATATATATGTATTATATATATTTATATATAATCTATATATACATCCCATAGGGAAAGTGGAACAGAATCTCTTCCTCCGTAGCCTTCGTGTCGTTAAAAGGCGACATAAAAATACGGAGCAGGGCTAGTACCCCTTACTCTGTATTTATTATGTTCTAAATTTAAAAGGAAACTTGCGTTTTTTCTCTTTTGGGCGGCCTCTCGTGGGTATGGCTGGTGCATTGAAGAAAAGAAAGAATATATAAATATATATATGTATATTGATATATAGTTTATATATAAAAAATTTTATTTTTATATATATATTATATATATATTTATATATTATATATAATATATATATATTTATATATATTATATATTATATATAATATTATATATATATATTATATA